CCTTTGATGAAAAATGGATTCTCTATGTCAATATTAAATGCCAAAAACAATGGCTCAGTCCTAGACAAAAACCAATTTTGATCCAAAAAACCTGGACTCCATCAGCAGAAAGTGATGCTTTGCATTTGGTGGGACATCAAAAGAGTAATTCATTTTGAGGTCCTCAATCCACAGTGAACTGTCAATGCAGAGATCTATAGTCAGCAATTGGAATGTTTAAATCAAACCCTTCATTAGAAATGCCCTTCACTCGTCAATCAGAAAGATGTTTTTCTTCTCCATGACAATGCACGTCAACATGTGGCACATTTGATGCAACACAAGATTATGGGAGTTGGGTTGGGAAGTTCTCCCCCACCCACCATATTCTCCGAAAAAGGCACCACCAGATTACAATCTTTTTCGTTTGCTGCAACACCATCTTAATGGGAACACGTATGCAAATGTGGAAGCTGTTAAAGAGGATATCGATATGTTTTTTGCTTCAAAGCCAAGTGATTTCTTTAATCAGGGCTTTAACGACCTGATTGTAAGGCATAAAATAATCATTGATAAGAATGGAGACTATTTCATTTAATAATTGTTTTGTTTTGATATAAAAGTTGTTCAGGTTTTTTCATCTAAAAAAAGCAACATTAATTTCTTGACAATCTAATACATAGCTTGCTCTTATCAGAAGTTAATATTAAGAACACACCATATTAAAGTCTTAATACTTATCTGTTGATTCCGGTTTTTACCTAAGAATATAAGCCATAGAATAATCCATAACTTTTAATAAACCTTATACTGAGCTTAAAAAAATGCTCAAAACCAGGTCAACTCTAAACACAAATCTTGATAAATTACCCAGAGTATTCTATAACATCAACTTAAAGCCACAATTGAAGTAAACCTATCACATATATTTCATAGCAACAAGTACCCTATGATCCCAAAACTGTTGCTAGAGGATGAAAGATATTTCATAACATCATATTCTTCTTATTTCCAGATATTCTATGGAAGAAGTTCATAACTTCCTGTAAACATTAGAAAACAGAAACAATTTTATGCTATCTAAGATAATCTATAACATCAAATAACTCTAAAATATAGTTATAACTTAGCTATAAAATATTATATAACATTATATTAAGTAAACTTAGAACTGGTTGCTAAGCTATTGAATATACCCAGTAGTGTAAAGACACTATATTTTACAGTTATCTGAATTTCTAATAGAACATGGCAGGTTAACCCTAGATCATCATAATATTCTTAAACAACAGTACATCTTAAGTACCGCTGTTTAACTATAAAAGATATTCTACATTAAACATGTTTTATATCTAGAGCTACAGGTGAGCTTTCAAAGGCATCATATGTGTATTTTGAATGTCACTTTTCATCTTTTAAAACTATAATAATCCCCAATACAGCTTTCTCTGTAAATTATTCCCTAAACATATTTTTATAAGAAGGTTACCACTTAAAATATATGACAGTCTTTAAAAATAAAAGCAGAATTTCACTTCATTAGCCATGTTAGCCTTGCTTTTGATTAATGCAAACTGAACATATACCAATTATACTATGATACAAAGCCTTAGCCAACTTAAACGAATATGTGTTGTTGACTGCAATGATATATATATAGGTCATAATAAGCTTGACATACATATCACCACCTTCTTTAGAAAAACATAAAAATTGATTTATGTTTGAATATTTTTAAGAGTTTCTAAGCCTATAGGATTTTGGGAACTACATACAGCATTATTGATTGCACACCACAATTTCCATGTTCACAAGCTTCTGCTAAAAATGTAAAGACCAACCATACACCATACATCTTGGCCAAATGGGATTGCTATGATCTCAGTTTCTCTGCCCATCTTTCTCATGAAAACTGCCACTGATTCCAAGACATGGCTAGAAGATTGTGAACTTTTGGTTTGTAAGCTTTCTTTGTATCCTTGGTTATTATCTTCTTAATGGTACCAAGAGAAATGTTCAGCTTCATCACAATACTTTTGAGGCTAGAGAGTTTACTTTCATAACTACTGTCTTCATTTTGTAGATAAAGGTGTTGCTACAGGTTGGCTGTTGGTGTGGTTTCAAATATTGTTGTTATCCTAAATGCTCTGGAAAGCTTTGAAAGCTCCCTTCTTTGAAATGTTGTATCTTATGGCTCTGATTCATTTAGAAACTTCACTCTCCAAACAAACGTCTACTCATAGATACATTTCCCTGTTAACAACATATATGTAAGTACTAGACGTGTTGCCTGTGGTACCTCTGTTTGAATTTGTGACAACATGCCTTGTATTAGCATATCTAAATCATTCTTATAGTGTGGTTAACCCTTTGGGTAAGTAATTTAAGTATTTTTCACACAACACAGCTTTTTTTTTCTTTTTTCACTTACAGTCAAACTTTGGATTTTTCCAAGCATTCCATCCTTGTTTCGGTGTTCTAATACAGAGGATCCAATGTTGTCTTCTGTATTATCAAGCTTTGGAGTTGTGTCATTACTCTCTGATGAAGCAAACTTGCTGTGAGACCCATCATCAACTGGAACTGAGGAATGGCAAAAACTGTCCTTCCTGCATTTGGTATGATACAGAGCACCACTAGAACAGTGATCTTCATATATACTTCCTCCTAAGTCATGATTCACAATCATTTGATTACAGATTATGTTTTTGGTTTCTATCTGTACTAACTGCCCATAATCTACTGCTCTTCCAGGACTTGATATTTCTATATCTGATGCTGTAAGCCTATCAGCAGAAGTTATGTCTGCTAGGCTTTGTGCTGCTCTGTCATCTTTCGGTGGACTATACCTTTTAGAATTAAAGTCTTCAACTTGTGGTTCTCCAGTATTAACATTGACCCCATCATTAGCATCAATACATTTATCTTGCTTGGATAGGATTATCTTTGTAAACTCTTCTTGAGAGCAGACTGGTAGGCTATTGGTGCTGTGTTCAGAATTTAGGAGTGGTTGTGTTAGGTCCGACAGTGATCCACGACACACCTTGCACGTGGTGCGATAATGAAGAGTTTTCTTACTTGTATATCCTTTAAAGTTGTCTTGATCCATGTCAAGGTCAAGATCTTCCGGAGGTTCATAATAAATATGTTTACTTAAAGGGGACGTGCCAGCCTCTCCATTGGCATCTGTCAGATTAAAAGATTTGGTCAAAGTTTAAGACAATTAATGATGTGATACCTCTAAGATCAATATTTAACTTGACGGACAGGCATGTAAACTTTAAATACAGAATGAAGTAAAACAGACATATGTTAAAGTCTAGGATTAGGGTGAATGTAAACAATTATGTGTTGACTCTAATGCTAGAATGAAGTTAAATTATAAAATCAGGGTGAAGTTAAATATTAAAATGTGTTAATTCTAAGGTAAGAGTGTAGAACAATAGACCAGAGCAAAATTTAATAGATATGTGTTCAAAAAATTCAAAATCAGAATGAAGTTCAAAGAAAATGTGTCGACTTTAAAATCTGAGTGAAGTTATTGTAATCTTTGTTTTATAAAAAAAATCAAAAAGTGAAAAGTGGGGATATTAACTTTAAACTCAATCGGATTTAATAAGGTCAGAGTGAAGTTGAAAAAGGTTATCAAGTTCTAGAATTATAAGAAAACTTATCATGTTCTGTTAACAACAGAGATAAAAACGTATGGCTTACAAGCAGATATTAATATATTTTGAATATTTTTTCTGCAATACAAATTAGATCTGGTCTTTTATATAACTCATACTCTGAAAATCAAAATTGGCTTTTAACAAGAATAGGAATAATAACTTACCAGAGTAAAATACAGCAGTAGGTTTTTTAGGTCCTTTTTTCCCACCAGGGGCTGAGAACCCAACTCCTCTTCCCAAGTCAGTTAAAATCTAGAAATGAGAAACAGTTCTTTGATTTGGCAGTTTTGAATCATTTATTGGTTTTGTTTAAAATTCAATATTTTTTTTAGATCTAACATTTATGTATACTGAAAGAAAGGCATTTAGTGAACAATCATATTCCTACATTTAATAAAACAGAAGTATGAATACTTGAAACAATAAAATTGTCATTACATTTATACATGCTATACAAATTCTGATATAAATAAAAAAAAGGTTTATGTGACAAACTGACTTAATTTGTTTAGGTTTATTTTTTTGGTGTTTTTTGCACACAGTTTGTTTTCCTAATACAGTTCTACCCAATGAGCTAGATATGCTCTGTTCACCACTGGGAGTCGAACCTACTGCTGACACAGCAGGAGACTTAAACCATGAATGAGCTAATAAAATAAATGCAAGAGATACATTTGAAATTTTTTCCTTCTTGATACATTTGATTATTATTTATAAATACGTTTGTTTGTTTTAAGTACAAGGCTACACAATAAGCTGTGCTCTGGCCACTGTAGGTATTGAAAATCTGCCTTTTGTGTTATAAGCTCCAAAATTTACTGCTGAGCTACTGGGGGGCAAAGTTATTCATAGCCGTCTTTCAGTGGCATACACTTGACAGATTATTGTATTGTACAAATTAAACAATTTTGTTTTCAAAGGAACTCAAAAATCAGTAAAGACTGTGAAACACCCTTACATGGGGTATATTTTGAATAAACGGTAAACCTTTTGTAATAATAGTGTAGTAATAGTTGTTTGGTAAAAATAATGTCAAATCCAGCCTATATAGCAATAACAAATTAATTTATTTCTCCAATAAACATTTGCTCTATCCTTGATGACCCTTTGGAAGAAGTTTCATCAGGAATTCTGGTTCCTTGGCAAGTTGAGATTTTGCTGACAATTTTTTTTTTGGAGTAGCCTAGTTGGCTATTCTTTCACCATTGTACTCCCAAGTACAATTATGGTGGCTGACCTCTGGCTTGGATAGCTTATCCTCTGAACACCTACTTCAATCTGGTTGGATTCTGTCTCTTTGGCTTAGTAACAGTTATTGATTATTTTCCAGTTTTGGCCATAATGGTCAGGTTTCCCACATCTGTAACAGTTACCTCTTTCTGGTATACTTTGACTTCTGGATGTGCCATTAACAGTTCATCTGCACTTTCAATGAATTCAAGTTCCATTGCCAACTGCAGTGCTTCCATTAAAGATGTACACCTACTCTGCTTCAGCCTAATTCTTATATCTTTGTCTTTTATGGCATTTATAAATTGGTCATATACCAACAAATTAATCATTTCACAATGAATGTCTGGATAAAATAATTGGACAAATCTTCTGAAAGTTCATCTAAGGTCTCTTCTTTCTTTCATACCCTGTTCTGGAATTTTGCTTAGATACTTCTTTTTTGGTGTGACACTACCAACCTGTTGGAAAAGGCTTTTACTGATGCAGGATAATTGTTACAATGCTCAATTGTAAGGTTACTTAATGTTGTCAAAGCTGGTCCTTTTAAATGGGCAACAAGATGTATGGCTTGTTGTTCACTCAAGAAATGATTTTGAAATTATGTGGAACCTTCCCATCATAGTCCATTGGTTTCTCTAGGGGCCCATGTTAAACTGGCCAGCTAAGCTCTGGAACTAGATTTGATAGTGTCATGGCTAGAGTAGTCCAGGAAATTCATTCCATAATGGGTGGCACAGCAATAGTGGTAACAGTGTAAACCATATAAGTTCTATTCCATAATTTATAAGCCCTCCAGTGGCACAGTGGTATGTCTGCTGACTTACAACACTAGAAACCGGGTTTCGATACCTGTGGTGGGCAGAGCACAGATAGCCCATTGTGTAGCTTTGTGCTTAACTTCAAAAACAAACAATCAAAAACAAACCATAATTTATAGTAAATGGTGTTCTAGGCTGAGCTGATGCAGAGAGAGTTGTAGCCAGTTTAATTTTCACATTTAATAATTCATTTCCAGATGTTTTATTCTGTCACCGATGTTCTTTTCTATTCTAATAATTTTTTTTTCTACCTTGTTAATTTCTTTTTGTACATCATAAATTTTATCATCACAGCCTTAATATACTTCTTTGATGTCCTCTACATGTCTTCAAACTTGTTGTTGTAATCACTCTCTGCACATCTTCAACAACTCCATCGATCTTATATTACATTAGATTTATGTTTTATTTTAATCATTCTCTCAATAGTATGCCCTTTTTTTAGCTTCTCTCTTAAATTCCTATCATGTTCTTTTAATGTTCTGACTCTCTCTTCTTTTAATTTTCTGTATTTTCTTCTTGGTCTTTTTTTAATTTTCTCTCACATTTTACTTGGTCTTTTCATCTTTTACCTCTTTCCTCTTGATCTTGTCCTAATAATTTCATCATCTCATGTAATAGTTGAATCTCATTACTTCAACAGATCAAGTACCTTTTTCAAGTATATTGTTACGTATCTGCTCGTTTGTTAATTTCCAGTATTAATTCTTTAAGAGGAACTTCAGCGATACAAGTCCTTTCTTAATTAAAACTAGTTTATTCTCTCTTGATACAACTTTGTTATACACAGAATTTCTACCATCACTTTAAACTTAACAACCTTTATAACACATGCTATAAATCACAGTGGTTCACACGGTGCCTACTGTTCGCTTGACTCAATTATCTATATCTTCAATCTATCTATATCTCTTCAATCTATCTGCCAATCTCGCTGGCTTTCTTTGCCAGGTTATATACTAGAAAAAAAGGGTGCCTTGAACAAACTAGAGTTGCCAGGAAAATTCATGATCCTTCTAGAAACTCCAGCGTGCAAGCTCCCAGTGTCGCGTGACTTCCTCTGTCGTAACACTGCCCCTTCCTTAGTATTGTTCATCCCGAACAATTGCCACTTACATTATACCAATAGATAATTAACAATAACTTGATTAAATGTACAGAATTTACAAAGACAAAATTAAAATACAACAAAGTCTCTTAATTTACAGGACGTGTCTTCTTCCATATTGGTCTCTGTCTCATTGGCTTTTGCTTCATGTGGGGTTCATCTGCTCCATCAGGAAATGTTACATTATAGGTAACAGTCACACTAATGGTAGTAACTTCAATAACGACTTCACTGTTTCCCTTCTCAAAACTGGGTAGAGTTTCTTCTTTGACAGTGGCTTTTTCAGGTGGCAAGTCTTCAGCAACGTCATTTGTTCCACTGTTCACTTTGTTCCAACTGAAATGTCCTGGACTGTGATAATGCCAAAGCCTGTTGGCATATACAACCTTTGGCTTACCTCGCCAACCACATTTTATCCGGAAAGTCACGTCTGAGAGACGATCCACTATGTCATATGAGAGAAACAACTTAGGAGACTTCC